AACTGACTCCCCTCCAAAATACACTTTGCACTTTTCAAGGTTACATTTAAGACCAGAGAAAGAATAGAATATGTGTAGCAACAAGTTTACTTGAAGTAGGGACTGAGCAGAACCTATGGTGAATATGAGTAAATCATCGGCGAAGCACAAATGATTCAGCTCCACCTTGCTACATCGTGGATGATAAGGGAGATCTCCTGATTTTGCAGCCGTGTTGCGAAGACCAGACTACCCCTCCATTTCTATGCAGAAGAGATAGGGGATAGGGGATCCCCTTGTCGAAAACCTTTCTTGGCCTTAAATAAACCACATAAACCACCGTTTAGACTAATGCTAAACGTATGATTTTAACCTGTTTATCAAATTGAACTTGTACCATAATGCAAAATTTTGCAATAAATATCCATAAGCATATACTGTAATCATCAACCACATTAAAAAAGTACTTGAATCCATTGTAACTCGGCTAAATTACACATTTGGTCACTCAAATTATACAAATCTTTCACGTTTGCCACTTGAATTACTTTTCTTTCTTATTCGCCACTAACTTTACGAATCGTTTCACCCTTAGTCACCGGCCGTTACGCTCCGTTAAATTTGTCCTACGTGGCAGTCAACTATAAAGTTTGACTGCTAAGTAAATGACGTGAAAATTATTAAAAAATTAAAACATAAATTTATTTTTCCACTTCATCATTCCACTTACTTTTCCCATACGATTTATAATATTAATTATTTAATAAAAATTAATTATCTTCGAGATGAAATTGTAGAGCCACAGTTGATTTACGATATTCCTCTTCTTCATTTCTCTTAGTCGGAACTTGCGCAACGCTGACGACACAAATTCATTCCCTGATTTTGGACCAAGCTCGTGAGGGTGGCAAGCAAGAGAAATGTGAATAGACGAAGGAGACGAATCGTGAGCTAACGGTGGGTTGGGCTTTGTAGACAGCCGGGAGGTGGAGGGAGAACCCGAGGCAGGCAGCACCGGAAGGTGGAGAAGTGGTATCTTGGGATTTTCAGCTCGGCGGCAATGGGGAGCATCGCGGTGCTGAAGAAGTTGAGGATTAGGGCATGGACGACGGCAGAGAGGGAAATTACTTGTTCAAGAGCACAACGAAGATGAGGGAGGCTGAGGCGGAGGGTCTCAAGCACGAGGATCTAAGGTTGGTGACTCGGGGAAGACCACGGTGGCCGGAGGAGGTGGGAGGAGGTGAAAGGTGATGGAGGAGTTGAAGAAGAGATGGCGGCAATGTAAGGCGCACGGTGGCGTCGGCTTGTACGATTCTCGAACATACCCAATTCACCTTTGGGATAGAAGAAGATCCAAATGCAGGAACCAGGCGGTGTAGGGCTCGCCGGCGGGGAAGATGGGCTAGAGCAACATGGAGGTCGCCTTGTTCTTGTCCTCGTCAGGGGTGGTGGAGATCTAGTATACGTCGTACCTGCTAGAGAAACTTGTTATTGTAGGAGCAACGGAGGAACTTGTTTTTGGAAATTGTAATTTATTAATTTTATTAAATAATTAATATGATAAATCATATGAATAAAGTATGTGGAATGATGAGTGGAAAAATAAATTTTATATTTTTTAAAATTTCCATGTCATCTACTTAATGGTCAAACTTTATAGTTGACTATCAAATAGGATAAATTTAATGGAGTGTAACGGTCTGTGATTAATGGTGAAAAGATTCGTAAAGTTAGTAGCGAATAAGAAAGAAAAGTAATTCAGGTGGCAAACGTGAAAGATTTGTATAATTTGAGTGATCAAACATGTAATTTAGCCATTGTAACTCATTATAGAATGTGGTTCTCAAATATTGACATGGACCAAATAAAATAGATCTTAGCTATTGAATTATTAATATCAAAAGGCAACTTCTTATGTTTAGCACAATGGCAGGTTTCACAGTGACCTGTTACATGCTTTATACTACATGACCAGAGTTTTAAATCAGAATTTGTCTTAAAGAAGAGGATGTCCTAATCTAAATTGTTATAAATCAAGGTTCTTCTATCTGAAGCTATAGCGACCCATCCTCCCTAATTCTTCCTTGAGAGCGGTTTCTTAGCACCTCTAGCGACACCACCACCAAATGAAATTATATTTTATATTGAGAAAGTCTTCTAGTGAAAATCAAAAACTTGTGAGAGATAAGGGATAAGAGATATTGATGTTAGAAAAGGAAGAAAGAGAATGATAAAGTTACTTTTTGTTTTTGCAATTGGTAAAGCAGCTGCTTCCCCTTTCCCTGACTCTCGACTGAGTTTCACTTTCCCTTCTTCTCCACCAAGAACTCACCATCCATTTTATAATTTTTCCCACATAATGTTGATTTTGCATCATAATCCTGATGAACTATCACCATTAAGCTTGCATTCCAGTCCCTTTCTCCATGTATGAAGAAGCCTTCTTCGCCTCTTTCTTTGAGAGGAGTCACACGCGTTTCACATAGTCGATCGGCTAATCAGCGATGGTCGGATTCTACCATCGGTGGTGAAGAAACACCTCCTCCACTCACACCACTTCTACAATCTGTAAGCTTATTTCTTTATTTTGTATTTCTGTCATTATTGAAGGAACCCTAAAATCTAATTAGTCACTTGTTTTGCAGGCCCAAAAAGTTAAGGAACCCATTGAAGTGAAAGAAGCTTGAAGCATGGAACAAGATCGCCTCATAGTTGAAGATGATGAAATCAGTGAGAGAGATAATTATATTCGATCTCCCAAGGAAAATGACATTGCTAGAAGTGAATTGAGGTGGGCACCAATAGTGGGGGTGTCTTATTCTTCACATGAAGAAATCTTTGAGTTATATCAAGGTTATGCTGAAGCATGCCAAAAAATAAATAAGAAGGGGTAGACTGCAAATTATAGATTCTCTTGTCATCAGGCTGGGAAGCCATCTAATAAAGCACATAATCCTCTCAAACCTAAACCCAGCCATGGAATTAATTGTGGAGCTCAAGTTTGTTGTTCGAAGATGCAAGATGACAGGTGGAAGATAACCAAGTTTGTTGATCAACATAACCATGACATGACACCTTCAAAGTCTCGATTTTTTCAGCAGAATAGAAGCATAAGTGTTGCAGTCCAAAGGCGTCTTGAGCTTAATGATTCAGCAAGCATTCAATTGACAAAGAGTGTGCGATCTATTGCTATAGAAGAGGGTGGATACGAGAATATGGGTTGTTTGGCAAGTGATTGTAGAAGACATGTGCGAAATGCAAGAAACTTCCGATTAGGTGAGGGGGATGCTAGAGCGATGTTGAAGTTGTTTGAGAATATGAAAAAGGAAAGTGAAGACTTCTTTTATGCTTATGATTTTGATGATTGATGGTAGATTGACGAATGTGTTATGGGTTGATGCTAGAAGTAGAGCGGCATACAAGGAATTCAGTGATGTTATTACATTTGACACAACATATTTGTTGAACAAGTATCACATGCCAGTAGCTCCCATTGTTGGTATAAATCACCACGGTCAATCAATATTGTTTGGTTGTGCTCTTGTGAGCAAGGAGGATACAGAATCTTTTGTGTGGCTCTTTACTAGATGGTTGGAATGTATGAAGTCACCTCTAGCAGTAGTGATAACAGATCAATGTCAAAGTATGAGAAAGGCAATTGAATAGATTTTTCCCGATGCTAAGCATCGTTGGTGTATTTGGCATATTCTGAAAAAGGTGCCTCAAAAGTTGGGGGCTCATGATGGGTATAATGAGTTGTGCTACACATTGGACAAATGTGCGTATGAGCCTTTGATTATATCGGAGTTCGTTGAATCATGGAAGAACATTATAATTGAGTTTAACTTGGAGAAAAATGGATGGTTGGAAGAGTTGTATGAATGGGCTCGAAAGTGGATTCCTGTGTTTGTGACTGATACTTTTTGGGTTGGAATGTTGTCTACTCAAACAAGGGAGAGCATGGATTCATACTTTGATGGGTACTTAAAGTCATTAATGCAAAGTATATAACTCGAAGATGGAGGAAGGACATATGCAGGGTACATTCCAAGATCAAGGTTGGTAATTTAGGAGAGGTTTCTAGTCGTGTGATGGATAGATTTGCATACTTGGATAAAGAACTTAAGAGGTTGGCAAATAGTGCTTCTGAGCATGATGGAAAATTTCACCATCTTGTTAATCTTATACATGAAACTGATAAGCTGTATGCTGAGTGGGAGGATGATGTACCATCATCACAAGAGGTCACTTTTGGTAATTGTGACCAAAGCTTGGACACCTTAGGGGCTTTTGTAGTTTTGAAATACCCAATTGTTGCACAAACCCGAGGATGACCAAATAGCAAGAGAATTCCGAGCCCATGTGAAGTAAAGAAAAGGAGTAAGAGAGTAAGGACAACAACCCGAAGTTCTATTATGAAGACCAATGAGGTAATTGATAATTTTTTTAGACGTTTGTAAAAGTTCATGTATCTTGTTATTGTATTTAAGTCTTATGGATGCATTGTAGGAAATTGCTCAGGCGAATGTGGGTTTGAATGGATTGCCAACATATAGTTCAACATTTGGGATGCATGTTGTTTTAGGTTGCGGAGGTTCACACACTGAACTTTTTTCAAACATGCATTTGGGTCATAATTTTGTAAGTAAAAAAGTATTTATTTGTTGTTTGGCAATCATATATGTAGATGTCAATTACATTTAACTACTTGTTTTATATTGCAGAATGCATATTGAGTACATAAGTAGGATGCACATATTTGGGCCATATATGGAGCTGGTAACAATACAAGAGGATGCACATATTTTAACAACAGTGGATGGTATATAATGGGTTATTTTGTATACTGATGGTCTTTGGTTATTTTGTGAGACCATACCAAACTTATCCATTATCTTTTGAACTTAAAAAGTAAGAGTATTTGTACTATTATCTTTTGAACTTTTGCATGAAACCTCCATTTCTTTATGGAGAGAGACGAGTCAAACACAAATATCTTCGTCTCATGAAGTGACACACAATATAAACACCAATGTTTATTGTATAAAATTGGGAAGTAGATCTAAAAAACGAGTTGTGTTATCATAATGAAACAAACAATCACAAACAATTGGCCATATAAAATTGACATTCTCATTGTAACGCTGCTACTTACATGACTACAAGACTGCAGCTTATATACATAATGCCAATCATTGCACATCTTCTCAATGGTATTGTTCATGTATCGTGTAGCCCCATCGGAATCACCCTCATCATTGTATGTCAACATCCATGACTAAAGCACCACACATAAGTAAAAAGACAATTAACAAACTCATCCACTCAATTAGCAAATAATGAAGAAGTGGAGTACGATTTCTCCCATTCCAATCATGGATTGTAAGCCAACCAGCAACACGAATTATCTACAACAATCATATTTATACATTAGCTAACAAGTAGATTTACTCTATACTTACAAATATTACTATCACCGTGAGATGTCTAGAATGATGTAACTCACTCTATTAGATGCCCAACTACGAGGTTTAACCCATAATTTGAAATCGAGTACATCTAATTTGCTAATTTCAGTTTTGATGATCAACTCCGATTTCATCCTAAAAAACAAACAAAAAGTACCATTTAGTAAAAGATCCAAATATTAATAAACAGATCAATGCAAAAAGAGAATTCAAAATTACTTACTCCTTTGGTTTACTTTGCAAGTATTCTATTATCTTTTTTTCAGCTGTTGTATGTTGAGTCCTCACCATAGTTGGCTGTGAAATGAATGGTGATACCTGACAATGGGAATTTTTAGTCCTTCTACGAGGTTTGTTGTGTATTATATTACTAACTTCACTAGTACCACCTCCATCTTCATCCACCTTGGAACCACTTTCAACCTCATCTTCAATACTAACCTCGAATATCTCTTCAGGACATCCCTTCCTTGGAATACTTGTTCCACATCCACCACCACTATCCAGATTAATGGCATTCTTCTCTATATCTTATTGCTCTTCATCATTAATTATATTCTCAACCTCTACATCTTCATTCTCACTTGCTTGGTTATCTTGATCATCAACTTCAATAACTTGCTTCTCCCTTGTTGATTGGTCTCGATCATCAACTATATGTTCATCAACTTTATCACCTTCCTTCCCAATGTGTCCCTTTAAAATTAAAGAAATTGTAAATAACAAAAACACATGTATGAATTTAAAAAACTTAATTAAAACATGAAATACCTCACGCTCTATAATTGTTCTCTGGCAATTCCTTCGAATCTTCTCCCAGTTTCCTACTCTAGTCATTGCCGGATGTTTTTCTCCATACACAATATGCCATATTTAAATCTCAAATAACATATTAATAATTAGCATTTACACTATGTAGTAAATACTTAATCAAGTACAATTTTTAACTCCATCACTTGTATCAAATAATTTACCTAACCATTGTCAAAGTCCTTACTCTTCCCACGATCAATCTGTATCACTAAATTCTTCTCTTCATCCCCCAAAACTGTTATTCTAGGGCTTTCATTCCATTGAATGGCTCTCCCTATATCAATTCTATCAAAATAGAATATCCGCACAACTAACATGCAAGTATTAATATCATATACTTCATGATAATATAATTAATGATGTACTTTACTAAATTACTAACCTGGAGCAACACAATGCAACCACCATAACCCCCAACATCTCCCGAACCACTCAATGCTTTATCCACTTTTTTTGCACACTTACACAACCAACTAAGTACAAATTCACACCAATTGTACTCTTGTGCCTTCTTATAAGTAGCACCAACTGTTGTTTTGGACTTGGGCAGTTGAAGAAGGGAGATCAAGATGAACAACAATACATTTTCTGAAAGACAGGTAGTGCCGCCCAACGGCCAGAAGTCGGCTGGGTTCCAACGTGCACCCAAAGCACACCAACGACAAAAAAAAAATCCCTAAAACAAGAATCTAGAATTTTATCCCAAACCAATTTCAAAATAAATAAAGAAAAAAATTCCTAATATTTAGAGAACTTACCGATGAGAAGGACAGGGTGGAATATGCAATACAATGATTAATCCAGTGGTTTTCATTGGCGGCGATTGGGGCTGAAGATGTTGGATCGAATTTGGGGTCGGCTGAGACTACTCCGTTGGTGGGGATTTGGGGTCGACAATGAAGCTCCGCTGGATGGATGTGGTGGCCCTCGGCAACTCAGATGTTCACCCTGATCTCCGGCGCCTTGGCCTCTGACTCCTACTTCCGACGCCTTAGCCTTCGACTCCTACTTCCAGCCTTTCTTGTGGGTTCAAAGGGTTAATAGTGATGGAAAGGGTTAACACCCCGATCACAGAATCCTACCTCCGACCCCTGAACTCCTACTTCACCTCCGAGATCCTCCCTCGTACCAATCCCCGACCTTCCTTCTCCTCTGTTCTCGTCGCCAAACCTATTTGATGAGGAAGAGCGTTGGAAAGGGTTAAGGAAGAAGAACAGAAAGGGGGAAAAGAAAGTTATGTTTTCTGGATGTAGGATACGAAGAGAGAGGTGGAGTAAAGGGAAAGTGAGTTTTTTATTCAATTTATCATTCATTTTATCTTATCTTTTCTCCATTCAAATTATCTTCTCACCATTCAATTTATCTTCTCACAACTCATCTCATCTATACATTAAATTAATATTTTTTCATTAGGTGATTGGTCACCTCTCATGACAAGAGAACTTTCTCTTCTTCCTTATTATGTTCATTGTATTCTGGTTATTTATATCTGTTGGGTCGATGAGGATATAAAGGAAGCCATTATATCCCTATCAATGCATGTGAATACACGTCCCAGCAGCAACCCTTTTGCTACGCGACACATGCAATTTTGATATTTAATTGTCAACACAAGGTTTCTAAATCTATTATAACTTAGTGAATAACCTATTATCTAGAAAACAAGTTGTAGTGTTGATTATTAGAACTAAGGAAACAAAGCAGGCAAATCGATTCATTTCAGATATGAGAAAGTCACTCATGTATGTTTCCCCCTAGTGCTTAGTTAGGCAATTGTTGTTGCCTCTCTAGTTCATTTCAATCGATACATTTACATCAAAAAGTCCGGAAACAATTTGGAATCTCGAGTAAAGAAGACCAAACCCTTTTCTATATTTTATCCGAAAGGAGATTATCCTTAGCCAAAATAGAAAAGCAAGACAATACAACCAAGACTCCCACTACTAGATTGAAACCAAGTACAAAGTAGTGAATCGATTCACTATTTGCATAATCGATTCACTTCCACCAATTAAAGGCACTCTATCAACCTAATCAAGTTGATATGATCCAAATTGGCCACTTCTACAAGTCACAATTACTTGCCAAAGAAGCTATCAAGGTTGGAAAGAAGAAAGGCAGAATTTGGCTGTCAAAATCCGTGTTCAGGTTACATACTTTGGAGGCATGGTTCTCTCAATTGGCTTGGTGGAAATTCCAGTTCAAGGGTTTGTATTGTAGATAAAGTTTCCATGTTTCCAATGATATGCTTTTTGAAGCCAGATGATGTCATTAAGATTGTTTTCCAAGGCCTCAAAGTTGCTACCTCAAAACTGGAAAACTGCCAGAAAATGGTTAAGTCTGGAAACTGTTTTGTGAAGCCTACTTTGGAGCTTAATTCGAGGAGTATGGATCTTATTCAAGTCCAAAGGCTTCTACAACATGAATCTAGGTATGTTTATCTACCAAGGGAAGGAATTGGTTGAAGAATTGGAGTTCGGGAAGGCCTCGAACGAAAGGTGCGAAGTTAGTACGAAAGCTGCTTTTGGACTGTGCTGGCAGCTTACTTGCACTTGAAGAAAGAGAGTTTAAATCCGAATTTTGAGTCCTTTTTAGAGTAGACTTTTACCTTAATTGTTTCCTAGTTCTATTAGGTTTGTATTGGGTTTATTTGCCTTTAAATACCTTTCTACTTTCGTTGTAAAACTCAGACTTTGATTAATCGAAAAACAAACCTTTGGTTTTGTGCAAGTTGCGACTTGTTTGAGTTTGGTGGATTCCAAGCTTGTGAGCTTGTGTATCGATTGAATATTCACTTCAATCGTGGTCGAGCAACTACCCTTTTATACCATTCGAGCTTTCCCCAGGTGTGGAATTGTCCGTTGGTTCCGTTTTATCCAAGTTCGTATTAAGAACGCTTCGTTCTTGATTCGAGCTCAATCGATTCTTCGATTGAGTCGTTAGCTGCGTGACTTTGATAACATACACCCTCCCAGGGGCGTATCACAAGTATTCTGTCTCCTAGATCAAAGCAATAATTGAAGAATGAGATCAAGATTCAAGCAATTTTATGAATGAAACTTCAATAGGATACATAATACAGAGTTTAACATACCAAGATGAAACAACAATCATTCCTAACATATACAAATATGGTTCTTCATACACAAGTGAAAGAGGTGATTGCTCTCTCTCTCTCTCTCTCTCTCTCTCTCTATATATATATATATATATATATATGTATATGTATGTATGTATGGTGGCGTCTCCGGTGCACTCACTTTTTTGGGTGCATTCAGTGCACTCACTTCATAACCGTCATTTGAAACATGCAATTTATGTCAAAATGATGTCAATCATCACTTATGATATGATGAGCAATAAAGCACATGAATTTGCACAAAAAACATTAATGATTTACTTAATTTGAAACATTTAGAGTTTAGAGATTTAAGGTTAGGGTTAGGGTTGGTTTAGGGATAAAACTCAAAATGGGAGGTCTAGGGCTTAGGGTAATCCGCTAATTAGTTGTTATCACATGTTATATCATCATATTACACTAATTTTACAAATTAAAATTTAAAATGACACCTTAAGACTAGTTTTTGAGCTGGGTGCATTGAACGCACTCATTTTTGTGAGTGCAACGAAGTAGTCACCTTAGGGTATAATATCATGCTCAAAAATTCTGTTAATTCGAGGTCTAAATAGCGTTTTCATACTCAAGGTATGCGGTACCCCGGATTTCACCCGGGGTAGCGTAGAAGGCACCATATATATATATATATATATATATATATATATATGGCAAAGGCAGCGTACGTCAGTCATACGTTGTACGCCTAATATGGATAATAATAATCTGCCGTAAGATGTCGATTTTCACTCCTAGGGACGAAACTTGAGCTCCATGTGGAAAGATAACTCAAATTAGCTATAAGGGGTGTCTCTTAATCACATTCTATCTCTAGAACTTTCAAAACTATGTTTTTGTTGTCAAAAGTCAAATCACCTAAAAAAATCCCAAAATTGGATCTTAATACCGCAACTAAAAAAAAAACAAATACAAGCAAGAAACATGCCCGTGTTTCTCCAAAGCGCAGAGAATCACTTAAACTATCTTTGGATAAAACACAGTGGTCTGGGAATTACATGATCTTGTTTTTCCTGTACTATGTCGTGTTTTCTCCTTGAACATGCGACACCAAATACACGACTAAAACACAGACAATGCCTCAAGAAATACGACCGTGTTTCTTTAAGGCATGTCTGTGTTTCTTCCTCAGCTCCACTTCTGAATCACCAAACGGCGTCCGATTGACTCAAAACTTGTGTCTATATCTTTCTTCACTTGCTAGAACCTAAAATATGACAAATGAACACAACCTAGCCTAAAAAATGATAAATGATGGTTAATATATTTTTTCTAAACCGTCCTCATTCTCATTTTCAAAAACCCAAACCCATACTTGCGATTTGCGGATCGGATAATACCCACTTCGTAATATCCAATATAATTAAACCTAGAATTAATACAATAAAACCAACTAAATATGTATAATGTCTGTTATAATATCAAATGCGGCTAATAAACCATAAAGTCAACAAAAGTGTAAACGTTGTTAATTCAAATCCCAAGCTTGTAATCCTACAACATTTATTAGTTCGTAAGACAATTACTATTTTTTTCATCCAATCATAAACTTCTTTTTTATAGTATATAGATATTCTGGGGCAAGCATAAATATGACTTATGAGTATAGGTGTCAAAATATAGCCCGGCCCGATTAACCCGCCCGATCAATCTGACCGCAACTCGAATTGACTAAAAGTCAACAACCCATAACCCGCTCGACTCGTAACCCAACTAACACGCAACCCGATTAACCCAAACTCGATTGACCCGCAACCCGACTGACCCGCAACCCGATTAACCCGAACCCGAATTTCATCTAATCCACTTGAATAATTATAAAAATATACAATACATAGTTTTTCAAAATAAAGTTTTTCTTTCTAAACTTAAGTAAAATTATTTTTTCATTTCGTATAAGAAATTTTAAAAATATGAAACTCACTTGATATTACGTATTTTAAGAAAATTACAAAAATTGAAACATGAAGGTCACTTGAGATCATATCAATATTAATATAATATATAAATTAAAATTTTGGTTAATTTAACTATTCAATAAAATTATCAATTAAATATAAATAAAATAAAGTAAAGTAATGTATTTGGTAATTTGATGTTTTTAAAGGAAGAGGGAAATTTTGGTGTATTCAAGTTTTTGGGAAGAGAAAGAAGAGAGAAATTTGGTCTTTGAATTTTTTAGAAAAGAAACAAGTGGGAATTTTGGTGGTTTTGATATGTGGGAAGAGAAAGATGTGGGAAAGTTTGATTCTTTTGATTATGAAAGAGAAATAAGGAGGGAAACTTTTGACTTTTCAACTTTTTGTAGAAGGAAAGAAGAGGGTAATTTGGTTCTTTCAATTTTATGGAAGAGAAAGATGAGGGAAAATTGAGTTTTTCTAATGTATGGAAGGAGAAAGAAGGAGGGAAATTTTAGTATTTTTGTGAAAAGAAAGAAGGAAACAAATTTGGTGTTTTCAATTTTATGGTTTTTCATAATTTTAGCTTTTGAAATATGAATCTTTAACTTTTATATGGAGGGCATGACTAGTTAAAATTATTCTTATATGCTTTGAAGTCTAATATGTATATATGTATGTAATTTTTAATGGCCTAATAATTAAATTAACCATTAGTTACAACAATTTATACTAAACTTGATAAGTAATCTTTGACGGTTCGTTGTTTAGGATATAAAGTATATGGTTATGATATAGGGTATAAGGTATAAGGTACATATGGTTTAGGGTGTATATGGTTAGGGTATAAGATATTGATGGTTTTGACGGTTCTAAGTTTTTTATTAACATATGTTCACTTGAAGTCATTTGAAGTCTTTAACGGCAAGAGATCCCTTTTTAATTTATGTTTATGCTACGTGGTTAGGGTACAATGTATGTGGTGTAAAGTATAGGATATATGGTTAGGGTATAACAATTAGCAAATATCACTTTTTATCTATGTTTTGAAAATCAAAGTATGAATTTCACTTTTAGATAACCTATACTAGCAAAATCACAACTCAAGGACATATGGTTAGGGTATAGGTTATGTGGTTAGTGTATGATGTATGGATGGTTTAGGGTATACAATCAACAACATATACTAACTTAATATTGTTGATTGAGGGTAAAACTAAGTG